TTCAGTTGTTGTCCCTTTTTCTGTCAATATGCTGCAATATTGATTTCATTTTACTGGATATCTGAATGTTTTCAAAATTTGGTTAACACTAGCTGGTCATGAAGAATTAAGCTGGGGTATTTAAGCCAATCAGAAACAGAGCAATATTTTGAGTGAATATTAATTCATGAATGGTAAACGGCTCAGCTTGCACTATTAAATAGGCCATTTGCACTAAGAGGTCATGTGACATCGTTTTTATGAAAATGAAAGCCATATGATTTTGCCTTCGAAAAACGATAAGTGGGTCATATCTTAAACAAAATAATGGTGATTTGGTTTTTCAAACCCGCACCATTTTCTTAAAATGAATAAGTTCGTAAATAGTCACGTGACCAAAATGTGATTTTTAAAACTAAGAATTACCTCTCTCTGAACACAAATTTTGCACTTAAACTTCAAGGAAAATGTGGAAAAGATGATGTGCTAACGTTTACAGCACATCTGAGGGTAACTATCAAACGTTGAAAAAGATATAAGCAAAAAGTAGTTTTGGCCATTATGTTGGAGGGCAAGAACATGCCCTCCAACATGGCGGCCAATACAAATGATACTACTTTGTGGAAAAATCAAAGTCCCATAAGACATCTCCCTTAAATGCGTTTCCTCTCAAATTTAGGGTGTAAGATAATTTTTATGTGCTCTAACAATTTTTGGCATCAGCAAGATTCCAACTCATTGTTTAAAGGAAGCATTGGTCACGTGATCTCTTAGTGCAAGTGGCCTATATTTGTAGTTATGTGTGGGAGGTTGCTAAGCACAAAAGAAGTGTAGGCTCTAGCTTCTTGAGTGCTTAGCAATCCTCCCAAGTGCAACTACAACTCAGTGGTACTAATAGTACACACTGAGCCATTTACCAATTTATTCTATAATATAATCAAAAGAGAACAACTTTTATTTGCTCACAGATAGCAGGAGAATAACCTGAGTGCTGTCATCTGCTCATGGTATGGCATGTGCACATCATTCTTTGCAAATTCTTTTCTTTCAAAAAAAATTGTTTTGCTCAATATCTAGTTCTCCGTCTTAATTTTACATTATCATCTATCGTCTTTGTAAACTTTCTTTTAGTGTTAAGAGAAAAATCTTTCTGTGCAAACCATGAGATAAAAAAATAAATTATAGTCGTGTTGGAAGTGGTGAGTACAGCTTTGAGTGCACGCTAGCTTTCGTCACCATTCAGCCATGGGCAAATAGTAAATGGCCAATTGACCAATCAGAGTGCTCGCTTTACTTCTGTCATTTTATAGTGAATTTTGTCTTGAAAGTACTTTATCTCTCACAGATTTGTTCAATATCTATTTATTAATAATATGTTAAAATCATTTTATTTAATTTCAGTTATCACTCTTCAAACAACAACTTGCAGATTGCTTATACTGTTACCTGGAAGGACCCTTGGGAACCATTTTACATCGCTCCTAATTATGTTCCTGTGTACGATGAGAGATTTAAACAGGTACATGCTTTGTACAGCTATATAACAAGTTGAACATATTCTCAATCATCACAACTTAGGGCTATTAATATGTAAATTTTATCAACAAGAATGAGTGTGGCAATCAGCTTTATTCAATGTACTGTGCATAAATGGGGGAAGAAGAGAAAAACATGCTTGACTAAACTTCTTCGCTCCCATATACCCTTTAGAGCGAATTTCTTATGACCTTGAAAAATGGTTTCGGTAAGTGTTTGTTATTTGTTTTATCAGCCAACAAATGAAAAGATCAAACCATGGACTCTTCTTTTTCCCGCCAAAGAAAACCCTTATATGGAGAAGGCATTGTTCGATTGGCCAATCGTGTTGCAGTATGAAGTAAAAGCGGAGTATCGCTTTATTTCTAGAAAGTTCTTGGGCATGAGGTTTTTTCATGCGAGCTTTCGCTTAACCAACCAAAAGCCATGAGCCTTTGTATCCGTTCAATAAACCATTAAAATGGCTCTATTTCCGTTCATCTGTTCTTTCTGTTTTGTTCGTGCATTTTCATTTCAAGGTCATATGAAAATCGCTCTAACTCGTTGATATTATCCAAACTGCCTGTAACTGTCCTTACAGATTCTCACCCCTTGTGCCACTTCTGACATCATCAGATTGAACCGCCATAGACAGTATTGTACAGGGGTAAGAGAATTTTGAACCATATGCTGGTGAGCATAATTCAGTCAAACAGGCCAAAGAAAAATGCAGAAAACTATCCACTGTTGATCAAAGTCCACTGAAAATCTTGAACCACTACGCAGCTCTACTTCTTTTAAATAATTTCACAATTCTCAGGAAACTTTTCCCACTGAAATGCAGCCTAGTGCCATTGGAAGAACAGTTTTGGTTCTATATTGACCAGAAAAAAGCTTGACTACATAGCTTCGAAAGGCATTTTTCATTGAAATTTATAGGGGCAAATGAACCAATACCCTGTTACTGTCTTAGATGGAAGCATGCAATGTGCACATAGTCCTGTCCAAAGAGTCTAAGGAAAAATGTTGTCCTCAAATTTTCTGCGTGTGAATGTTTGTTTTTTCAATATTTTACAATTTGTCACTTTTCCTGACTTACATCTCGCTCGCTGTTGTTGTTCAGTTATTAATTTACTGCTGTCACTATATGCTCATTTTCACATAATAACTTTAAAATTCACACTGTTGAACCTCTATTAAGTAACCACCCTCGGGGTACCGATGAGTGGCTGCTTAATGGTGCCACTCAGTAGAGGTTTGTCCATCAGCATAATACTTGGCAGAAACACCAATTTATTTTGAAACAAAAGCATGATGGAAGAAGCATTACTTGTCACCTTTGGTCTCGGTCTGTATTTTCCTTCATCATGTTCTTGAAATAAAGCCAAATTAAGTGAAAATTTTGAGATTTTGGGTTTAAAAGTGACACAGCAGTCTTGACTTCTACTTTTTCACATTTTCTCCTCCCCTCATTTTTTGCTTTTCTTGCCTCATTTTTTTTCTTTTGCTGGGCATTTAGTAGGCTTATTTTGGTGGGAAAAGTTTTGAGGAAAGCTTTCAGGATCTTAGGATTCAATAGTTGAAAGGAAAGGCAAGTAGGTAGTGGAACAAGAATTTCATGGAAATTTTCAAGTCAATGTTACATGGTTTTTTTGCCCTTTTCTCTGATGTCCTTTACTGAATTGTGCCCATTCTAGTATGGTTTGAAAGATCTCTTCACTCTGCAAGTTAGCGGATAAAGTTGTCCTTGACCATTAAAACTGATGATGTCACATTAGCGGCTGACACGGGTAGTTACAGGCAGCTCAGGGGCAAATGGATTAATTAGTAGTAAAATTATATTATTATTTTCTTTGCAGTATGGTTTTAATAGGATCAGTCAGGTTTGTGAGACTCATATTGCAGGCTTTAATTTTATGGTCCTCAACAATGCTTTTCTGATTCATCATGGATTTAAGGTAAAGGAAAGTTTCCACTCAGCAAAAGATGAAGAAAATGCACGAAACAGAGACATTTTTAGAACATTCAAAAAGGAGCTCAAGATTAAATATCCACGGTCAACAAGACACTGTTGAATTAAGAAAGAATGGATACTGTATTTTTTAAAAAGGCTAGTGCTTGACAAGATGATATTTGACTCTAGATTTCAACAATATTATATTTTTGATTTATTCAAGTATATTTTCACTGCGGAAGTTTACCCTAAGGGTTACAAAACTCATCAATAAATATGTTAGTGGTACCATTATAATATTTGGAGGTTGGTTTGGAAAAATAAACATGTTTTGGTAGGAATAGTTATGTTATTTTAAAAGAAAAGAATAAAATGTTTGGAAAGTAATTCAGCATGATGTTCCTTCCTACATTAGCATCATATACTATACCTTTAATAATATTAATACATTGGGATGTATCCTTTTTAACTGCCTCTTGCTAAACCATATTGAGGTCCATACTTTTAGTTATGGACTAGTTTGTTTCCTCTCCTTTGGATTTATTTCTTAAGAGTGAATTATGTGGCCTAGGAATCCAGAATTAAACATAAGGTTCTTCAAGTATTATATCTTTTAGTTGTCGGAACAGGTGTGAAACAAGTGTGTCTTACAGCCAAGGTGGCTAGAGCATGTGACAGCTAAGTGATAATTATAATCACAACGGTAATGTTTTCAATCAGTGAAAGTACCCCAAATCTGATGACAAATTTTATTATTAGTCTTCTAAAACACCCTTTCGAAAGTACACTATTCATTAATGATAAAAAACCTTTCCTGACTTTATTTCTTCAGCAGGAAAGTGAAAATTAGACTTCATCCAAGTCGACCTCTCATAAGAAGTAATTTTTTAGTGAATGGTGTAATTCGACCAATATTTTTTTAATTTCCAGTTATCCCTAGCTACAATCGGTGACAAAATTTTTGATTAAGATCGACACTATTAAGTAATTATTTTTGTTGCCAATATTGATTGTAACAAGGGATAACTGGATTTTAAAAAAAGATTGGATTACACCATTCACAGCGGCTAAAAATTTTGGGCCCAAGTAATATCATTGAAAAGGAAATGAAAACTTTTAAAAACCAATGACACATTTTAAAATGCAGCACAGACATTGACTGTGGGGTGATAAAATTCAGTTCTAGTATAACTACTTACAGAGTTTTTTTAATCGTCCATTAAAATCTGGAATTAATGTAACTAAAATATCAAAACTACCTTAGACAGTATGACCCAATGTTATGTACTTACTACAGTTTCTTAAATGTCTAGTGCTTTTTTCATGATTTTAAGAAGCTTGCCTTTCAGGGAGAGTAGCTGGTCATCCAGTTGAACAAATTCTTTTATGGTTGTCTTTTACTTTTTCTGAACTTAGTGTAGCCAGTCATGTTTGCTGTAGCAGCCAGACACTAAGCAATTTGTTCCCCCCACATATGCCAGCCTGGAAAACTGTCATTTCTCTGTTTGTTTTCATGCAAAAAAGTTGGCTATTTCAGTTACCAAACGTATATCTAGAACAGCTTATGAGGGTAGAATTTCTTCTCCGGTGTTGGAGAATCTAGTGCTGGTTTCTTTGGTGGTGAAACAAGCTTTGGGTCAGGAGTCATATAATCTCTGTGTGCTTGAGTTTCTCCTGATATGTCTGATTCATGGTCAACCCCATCAAGAAAGTCTAAAATGTCAAATGAGGAGTTGTGTTGAGTTGACACCAGGGTGTGTCTTTCTGTTTGGGAAGGAGCATCTGGTTGCTCAAATAAACATCTTTGAACATCCCTAGCATATAAAAGATCATTTTCCTTTTCATCGTCAAGAATCTTTCTCTCTCTATTGCTTACTCCACTCACATATTTATCCTGCAAAAGTAGAAAATTTAATGTTATGAAGTTATAGGTCCCTTCGAAGTTGATTTGCATTTTCATATTTGAAGTTTATTTGAAGTTTCATTTTAAGCAGAAGCCTTGACTTAAGTTGTATTAACATTCAAGTTCAGAAAACATTCCTGCATACTCAGAAATAGTGAAGCATAAAAAGGAAGCAAAATTGTGCTTGTAAGTGTCATAAATTTTACCTGGAACTTGAAATGTATATTTGATTGAGATGCTCCTCTGCCTGTTTTCGTTTCTGTACAGGTACATCTAGAAGTAACAGTTTGTATTTGTCTGTTGTGCTTTTTGATATCATCACTTGTCCTGTGTTGGAAGGCAGGTGTGTTTATTTGTTCCCCACTCCCCACCAAACAGGGGTTAGGTTGTTGTTTCACTGTTTGAGGAGCTGTTCTTTCAAGGCTTGTACATACATATTCTCCTTCAAGAGAAAAATATTGAAGAGAAGGGTCATAAAGATTATGGAACTTTAACAGGTACTTTCTCCAGTGATTATTGGATATAACGTTGTTACACTTACCCTCAGATTTCCTTTTCAAGCATCGTTTTTGAACTTCTGAGGCAATGCAGATCCTGTTGCTTATCCTTTGTGCCTGACTGCTGACAGAACTTAGAATGAACAAGAAAATAAATTTTAATACACACAATTCCATGAAAATGTACCGGCAAACAAAAACATGCCAGCATCTGAATATTTAAAAAACTATGTTACATGTTATGTGAACAGGAAATAGAGCACTGGAGAAAATCCCAACAAACTGAGCAACAACCCGTAATTTTGCAGAGCACTGCATGATGAAGAGTATTTATTTACCTTTGTTTGTACATTTTTCTCAGCTGTCCTTGTAGTTCTGCAAGGTAGTCTAGGTAAATGGGAAGGGTATTAGCAGTGGCTGGCATAAAACTGTACTAAATATTGAATTATAGTATAATACATTATTTACATCTCTATTGTATTTGTAAGAATTAACGTTTTACAATTTTTTTTACTATTTTACATGGGTAATTCAACTTGAACTTTCTTATGCATTGATTATAAGGAACAGATTTAATTATCCCACATACTTTAAATGTCCCTTGCTAATCAGTGGTTGAAATGTAAATAATGGTGAATAATAAACTCACTTCTTCCATGAAATGTCTCTGAAGGGTTAAGCATTCCTGTTAAGGTTTGTGATATTTCTTGTAATGGTGTCTAATAACAAAACAACTAAAATGTCATATATCAAGTGTTAGCAGTACCACTCTTTGCTGTTAAAAGAACATGCTGCCAAAAAAAAAAAAAACATATTAATAATTTATTGCTCTTTGTACTTGGTGCAAATTAATACGATCAAATGCTCCTTACATATTTACATTAAATTTATATCCAACCTATTAATTTACAAACTCTATGAAATATACAAGCAATTAATTAAACTTACTGGTAGTTTTGTGTGGGGAAGATGCCAGGTTAAAAGGAGGGAGACTCAAGGTAGTGTGGACAGTAACCATGACAATCCTGCACATACACATACCTTGAAAGCCAGCGCTGTTTCATTATGAGGTGTAATTCTATGTGGAGTAATTCTCCGAAGAGGAGTGATTCTACATTTTTCAGGATTGCTGTATTTTCCAGTTGAACTGCAGGAACTGTATAAAATGAATATTTTTCAAATAAAATTAATGATTCTTGATGACGAAGAAAGCAGTAAAAGATAAGAGATTACATATGAAACACATGATGACAAAATAACTCAGCACAGTTAACGTGCTGGAATTATTCAGTGGTTTTACGCTACACTGTTAGAGGATACTGATTAGAGAAATATGATGTAACTTACATGTAGCAAATACTTTTTAAGTTATCCACTGCACCTTAAGGCTACAGAGGCTGTTTAAAGCTGCATTTAGTGCATTGGTAGTATTGTATAGAAATCTTGTTAACAGAGTTGGTAGTTCAGTGTGAGGTATTCAGGAATAATACAGTAAAAACCCGCGTATAAGAACCTAGGTTTTTCCAAGTTAGCCTAAACAGGTTCTTATATAAATGGTATTAAGTGTAAAATTAGGCTAACTAGGTTCTTAATTAGGTTCTTAACTTTTGTTCAAGAAATAAAGCTGAATTTTTAAATGATCTGGTGTTTAATGTCCAAAAACAGTATTCTTGGAGGCTTCGTTAAGCAAAATAGATTCTGTTACAATCAAACCTATGGTACTGTAACCTTCACTATAATTGTCAATAAATCTTGCTTAATTCTATATATTTTTTTCTTTTTTGAAAATAAGAACCTGTTTTAGGATTTTAGCCTAAAATGGTTCGTATGTGAAGGGTGCTTAAAAATGAAATTTTAGCCTAACAGGTTCTTAAATGTTAGGTTCTTATACGCGGGTTTTTACTGTATTGCAAGATTTAACTTTTGTTACCTGTGAGTCCTATTGCTTCCTGAAGGACTCTGTGTTCTAAAAAAGAACAAAGGAGAGTTTACTATTATTTAGTTTAATAAACCCTAAGAGCGCCTGATAAAAATTATATTGCATGTCTTTGCTGAAAGTAATCACTGGTTCAACTTACAGTTGGTCTGAACCTGGAAAATTGGAATTGTCTGGAGAATCTAGTAGTTAATACATGAAAAAAAAATTGATCAGTCAATCAGCAGTTATATATCACAGACAGTCCTGCAACCTTAAATTTGAATTCTGAATAGATTCCATTAAAATGTATATTTTATTTTATTATTATTATTAATAATATTTTGGGGTGGAGGGAAGTATCAATGTAAAACCCAAGAAAAAAACATGTTTTGTGCAACAAGAAATCCAGGAGCAAAATCTTACTGGTTTCCTTAACACTGTTTAAGAGAAGAACTAATTTCCATGCACTCATTGGAAACAAGTGAGAGGAAATATCAATGTAATATCTATCAACGTTATACTAAAATAGATCCTATGTTTTAAGTGCACTTTGCACACTACACCCGAAATAAAGGTTTCTAATCAGTCAAAACAATAGGATCAGTTATTTATTGTTTTAGGAAATCTTTGGACCTTCAGATATCTTCCTTAGTGGGTCATTTTAAGAGGACAAATGCATTTTTAGTCTAAGAGCAGGATTTTGTTAAACACTGGCTACACTCTGTTTAAATAACTGGCCCTTAACATTTTGGATTTCTCCATTTACCTTGCCCATCAAGCAAACCAGCACTCCAAGATGGTGACTCTAATTTGAATGAGGAACAGTCCAGAACCCTGGCCATATCTCTTGCAGTTTGAGTTTTGATGTCCTCAAATTTCTGAATGAAAAAAAAAAAAATTGAAATTCCACATATTCCTTATCTAACACTTCTGCAAGTATAACAATGCTCTTCTTTTGCTTTAGAGTGATTTCAGTTGACCCGTGAAACAGTTAATAACAACTAGTGCAAAAGAGCTGCAAATAAATAAAAGAAGACAATAGAATTAGTGCATAATGGTGCATAGTATTCTACTATCTATTTCACAGGTTAATTAAAATCACTCTAAATGGCATTTACGATGCTTGTAATATCCATAAGAGTTAATTACAATTATAGGATTTTTTCCTAAGAACTAACAGATTTCAGATTTTTTATTTTTTGCACCATTTCAAGAGGTTACTACAAAAATGTGCATTTGACCAAAGGAGCTTAGGCTTTTGAGTTGGTTACTGCCATGTGCAACTAACTGGTGTAGACATTTAAGTAACGAACCTTTTTACAGAACTTCTTCTTGAGATTCTCTGCCATAAAACAAAAAGACTAAAGGTAACAATGAATGAATTCATTTAAAAGGCATTTTTTGGCAGGAGTGGAAGTAGGGGCATCGTTACCCTTTTGTCTCTTCTTAAAAACTATTGAGACTTGCCACGGTGGCCACCTTCTTGGACAGAAGTAAGTAACAATTGTAGAGATGTCAAAAAGGGGGTGTTTGTATCTGTTTGGACAGAAAAAGAGGCCATTGTAGAGACGTGACAAATAGTATTTTCCACTGTAATTAGCATTAAAAAAATCCCTTCTTCAGAGAAGGCATTCTTCAAAATATGAAAGTCAAGCATAAAGACCATCTCTCTACAGAAAACACTTTTTTGTCCCAACAGATATATACATTAACATGTCTACAATGCTTATTTACTTCTGTCCCTCCCCAAAGTTGTGGCCATTGCAGAGAGGTTTGAACTTATTGTTTTTACTTGTTTGCCTGTGTTCTTACCTCTCATTACAGTGTCAGATCTCTTTGCTTTGTTGTAGATACCTAAACTTCTCTGTGAATAAAAAAGGCAAGTTAAAAGCAAAAGCCACAAATTGTTTTGTTTGATTGTTTGTTTACAGTAGAGTTTACGTTTCTGACAAAATGAGGTAATTTTCTTACAGTTATTCTGTTCTTTGAAATGATAAAATCCTTTGAATTATTATGATGCTGTTTTCTGCTGTTACGGTCCTGAAATAAATGAAATTAATGCATTTACTTGTGAATGTTAAACTCAAAGCCATTTTTGTCTTTTAGTAGTTATAGTTATTGATTTATTAAAGGCTGATGTCATAACTCTGCCCTTAATCCATTTAATTATCTACTGATCAGTTACTAACATTTTGTTTTGAGTTAATTTGCAATAAATTATGCCATGTTTTTCCATTTACCCAGGTTACTACACTGTAACGGTCTAACAGACATATTAGGAAGGAAAAATACCACTGGGCTTATACAAACGTGATTTAGGTGTTGCCAAAGGTATAGAGGTTGGGCTGAAATCAAAGTTTTTCCAGATTAAAAATGGCAGCCAAGCATTATTTAAAGACGTCTGCACGAAAACTAGCATTTAAAAGAGTATCATAGATCACCGTTGACGAAATTACTTTAAAAAGATTAACAGTACCTACTACCTACTACCATACAACTCATGGAATTTTTTTAAAAGTGTACCTCTTTATCAGGACTTTTACGTTTCGATCTTCTCTCAGTATGTCTGTTTTTGCTTGTACAATCTCTGGAAGCCAGTCCTTTCCTATGATGTGAACTTGTCATTTGCTAATGAAAAAACAAAAGCCAACGTTATCAGAAACACCTCCCTCCCCCGCCCAAATCTAGCCGATGTTCCCTCGATTTCGTGAGGAAGGGGGTTTGCTATTTCATTTTATTTATTATGCCTAAGATTGTAGTTTTTATTTATACGAAGATTTAGTAATTGGCTGAAACTTTCAATTAAGTGTCAAACTGAAATTAGGTAAGAATTTTTAAGTCCGATAGTCTAAAGATGTCAGTGTTTTTACGTATAATTTCTGTAACCTTTTAAGTTAAGCACAACAAGGTCAAATATTCGGCAGATGCCTAACAAAAGATAGACATGGAAAGACAACTTTCAGGCAATTAATAATATTAATTATGACGTCCCGATTTTGCGGGGGGGGGGGAACTTATAATTGCACTTTTTTTCCGAAAAATAATGTCCTTAGCCCTCGACGTGAAGCTGTAAGCCGTAAACGGCTCGTTTCAAACCTTTTGATAAAGGGGATTCCCATTAAATCCTCTTGGCTCTACTGAATTATATCAGTGTAAAAAAAAAATGAAAACTGTTGTAACAGGTTTACCTTTTTACGAGATTCTTTTCTTCCTCTTTCACTGGATTCACGTACAGCGTCTTCGTCTGTTTTCCTTTCTTTCGTCTTTCTGTGATTTTCAGCGTCGCTGCTTATTTCTTCGATGTCATCACTATCTGAACCCCGTTCGCTGCGAAGCGACTTTCGAAATATTTCTCCCTTCTCTTCAGCGATTATGGGAAAAATAATATGGATGGCATAAGATATACCTTCAATATTTTGCGAAAGTCGTAGATTAAGATTAAAACTTGAGCATATAAACAAGCTTACCATTTCGACGCTTCAAACGCATATTGACAACATGTTTTGGTTTGGGATTGACCCTTCACGTGTTAAACTCCATGGTTCTTCCATATAATAAGAGCGCTTAAACAGAAAAAAGTATGTAACCTACTTCCTCCGTTACCTTTTTGTAAATTTTAAACAGGACCTTTTAAGCTCAAGTGTAACGGTAATGTGTCGGGTCTTCGAGGAAATAACTAAAAAACAAAGTACAAAAAGCTGACTACGGCCATCTTGCAATCCACCTTGCATCTTCGCGCGCTTTACCACCCCTTGGCCCTTGCGATGGCCCTTGCACACTGACCGCGCACTTTTCCCGCCAAGTGAGAACAATGCTCAAAGTCTTTCGTTTCTTATTTCCGGTTCCGGTAGTTGGCCCCAGCAAACGCACAAACGCTGTTCTCATTCTCGGAGACCCAGGGGCAGCTAGTCGGGACTATAGAATGTTCGATCTTGTAGTAAACTTTCACCGCGAACATTCTATCGTCCCAACTAGCTCCAGCTGTCCCTTCTCCGAGGAGAGAGGATGCCTAAGGAATTGCCCAAGGATGCCCTCTTTCTTGCTCCACCCTTCAGGGCGGAAAAACGTTCTGCGCAAGCTTCTGCGCATCGCCTGCGTTTGTTTGTCTCATTCTGTGAGAGTTCTGACTGAGACTGGATGAAATACACGAGGTGCGATCGTTTGCTCCTTTTAAAGGCTCTTTGTTTGTTTCTGTTGTTGTTTTTTCGTCACTTGAAAATTACTTTAGATTCAGAACAACCAATGTTAGAGTAAAAACAGATCATCCGTCAGTCTAAGGAGGAATAAAACGTTTTGAACATTTCCAAAGAGGTTTGTATTTTTCCATAATTGTGCATTCGATTTGTGAATTGATTTTGTGTCCAGTTCTTCGCCTTCTTTCGCCGGACTGAATTAAAACCCGCTTGTATTCTGTTATTAGTAGTTACGGTCTGTTTTTTTACATGCCCAGATTTATTTACCTTTGCAGAACCGGCTTTATCCTTGTCTTATGTCAAAGAACCGTAATGCTAACGCTTGCGAGTGATTCCCCGGAACTTTAGAAGGCCAGTAAGCTTACTCGAGAAGAAAAGACTACTTCGATCATTTTTCTGTTGCTCAAGTAATAATAGTCAGAGTTTTTTTCCTTTAGTTTTTTCAGTTTTAAGTACATAGCTTTGTTATCTTTCTGTACGCAAATTTTCCTTTCACTCGCTGTGAAGTAGCGGAGAACGACAACTGCCGGCAGTGACTCCAAAACAATCGACTCTAGTGATCCAGTTTGCTGAGTTTAATTTGCTTGAATGAAGACCCTCGCATGGACCAGTTATTACTAAAAAAAAGTAGCTAATCTAGCTAAGTAGTCGGAATCATGGCTTGGCTGCGAAGCTTGCAAATGATCTTTTGCTTTTAAGATCTTTAGGTAGGTTGTTTCCGTAGAGAAAATTCACTTCTTCTTTGTCAGCAGGTATAGGAGCTTAAGCCTTGTGTTTTTTTAATGAAAATTTGTTGTTTTGCAACCTTATTGAACCTTTTTTGAGTTCACTTAAGCTGAATTTTATGCATGATAGAATTGTTCTTTGCTTGTCTCTTCTCTTTGCCAGCTTAAAGTGGCGTCTATGGTCCTTAAAGTGACCTCAATCGGTGATTAAATCTTAGACATAATTGGAAAGAAGTTTTTGCAATAATGTAACTTTAACTTTGTTTGAAGGGAATCTTACTTACGCGTAGGTTTTTAACAGGTGTTATGCATGTTCAACTTGACAACACAAAGCAAAATTAATCTGCGCGAAACGATCAAGTTTAAAAAACTATGGTTGCTTTGAAAACGATCTTGGGGAAGATTTACTAGATAAAGATTAACTCTTTTTCTGCCCACATGACAGCGCCAAAACTTCTACATTGAGGATTTTGTTATATTTTAGTGATCTGCGAAGCTAGAAGTGTCCGATCGAGCGTGGGGTTTAAAATAAAATATCAGCTCGAGTGCGACAAAGTTCAGTGACTTCAAACACATTGTGGGCAAACTTGAATTTCTTTGGGCAGATTATTATACAAAGATATTTTATTTTTTTGTCCACGGTGGAGCTCCAGACCTTATTTATCCAGGAACTTCCTTATATGAACACATTTTGTGAATGCATCTTGAAAAAATCAGACTTACGCATGCACATTTCCAGTACAACTCAAGGAAATTAGTAAATGTCGTTAAAGTCCGTTTTACTATGATGTATTGTTCGAGAAAATTAAATAATAAGAAGGTTATAACCACAGCTCGCAACTTTTGAAGACAAATTGCCTGTTCTTTCCAGGTTTATGGCCGCACAAGCCACTTCTGCGCCAAGTCGACTCGAAAAACTCTGTTTTGAATTTCCCGCTTTTTTTCACCTGACCAACATTGACGTCACAAGCTGTTTTTTCCGACAATTTTTCCGACCGCTCTACGAAGATAAGGGCCAGAAAACAGCAATTTTTAATCGCGAATATCTCGGAGATACTTGCTTCAATTGAGCTGAAACTTCGTGGTATATTTATTTGGTTCATATTAAACACATTTCACTAGAATTGAAATAAAATTATAAAGGTCGAAATTTTGGTTCATTTGACCTTTGTGTGATTGTTATGATGTAGGTTGTAAAGCACACTCATTGTCCTACGATTCTTACAAAAGGAGGAGATCACATCAGAAGTAACGGTAAGTTATTTAGCCCATTAACCTTTAAGTGACTAGTGTTTAAGATTTCTCCTTATTCTTACACTATTCAGTCAAACATGAATATTGATAACAAGCTAAGCTAACAGGTCACGCAATCTCACGAGATCTTGGAATGACGCAATGGTGAGGTAAAATTTCTCCTTATTCTTACACTGTCCAGTCAAACATAAATACCTTGAGAAAAAGCACATGATCAACAGGTGAAAAAGGTCTTGGAGGTAGGATACGAGTGAAGAACGTTGTGGAGAATGTGTGTATTAATTTTAGGGTTCAAAGGGTGACACCAATCCCCGTGATACTGTTTCTTCTAGTTAGCCTGTGTACAGCCGGGCGGCTGTACACAGGCTACTTCTAGTGAGAATTTTAAACTCCATAGTTTTTGCTCTCTTGCAAAGGTAAATTCGGCGGACTGCAGAACAAAGCTCCTCCTCTTGAGAGAATGCGCGGCGCAGTGTTCGCTGCGCCACTTCCGCTGACATTCCATTCACTGACAACGCAGATCGGTGACTGACAAATAAAGCTCTTCTCATTTTTCACCACCAATGTATAACTCCAACATTGTTGCTAATGTTTTTCTTTATTCATTATGTTGTCAGAACAACTACAAGCTTTTAAACAGGCCGTTATTAAACACACACAAGCCAAGTAGGAGTTTCGGTAAGCTTAAAGAAGCGCATCGCATTGGTGCCTTTTTTAATTTGTTTTTTCCTTTCGTACACAAATCCACCCTGCTCTCTCTCTTCTTTGCTTGAGTGCGGATGAGAAGAGGAAGCTCTGCCTAAATCGTGTCAAGTCTTGTTTTAACCCCTTAAGTCCCAATGTTGACCAACGTCAATTTTCTCGTAACAATATCCGTATACTGTGAAGAGACAAGGTTATAAGAATTAATAAAATGATCGTCAAAGAAAAATGCCTTGATCATGTAGTAAATTCTCTCAACTAATTCTTAAAGGAAATGTATGGAGATCATTTTGGAGAATTTGTATGTGTATATTAATTAGGGCTTAGAGGGTTAGGGTCGCTTTCCTGCTTATCGTATAGGTGAGCGCGACCCCCATAACTTGAAGATTTGAATCCGCTTTCACTACTTTTCTGTTCAGGACAAATCGTTGGCAACGGTTAGCTGATTTACAAACTTGTTCTTCGAGCATTTGGAGGGAACTCTTTTTCTATCTCCTTTCTCCAACAGCTACAGCTACAGCACGGACAAACGGAGGAGATGAAAATTAAACACCGGAGATGCAGGGAGGCTGAAACCCAGTTACGCCTGATTGAGGAGCGCTTGGGCATGACTCCGACCCAGTACGATATGCCTCCCAGTCCGGCCACTATGCTGCTGATAGAAATCAACACTTCACCTACCAAAACAGCTACCTCGCGTCGCTCCAGCGTACGAGCTGCGGCTGCTGCTACCGCTTCTCCGACCTTATCGACTCCGGTCGTAAATGGTACGAGCGACGCATCGGGAAACACAACTTCTCCGAGAACGAGGCGAGGTGCTGCGATCTCCCCTGAAGATGTGAGAACCAGTAAACGAACGCGCCGATGAACAGAATGCAACTTAAAATAGTTATGCTGGAGGTTGACACTACCTTAAACATACCACAGTGGATTTGCAGTCAAAGCCTTAAAGAACTTGCATGAGTTTGTGGTACCGATTATTTCTTAAACGAGGAAAGCCCCGAAGATGCTTCGCTATATTGTGCCATGCTTTAAAACCTGGTCTTCGTAGTCATTTATTAAGTTTCCGGCTTTCCTTGTAAAAGATCTACTGACTGAAATACTGTACCTCTGAAGACTATGAGGAGATTCCTTTCATGCCGGATTATCTCCCGAAACTAAACCAAAAGTGGAGCCGACGTTTTTAAGGTTACTCCATCTTCTTCAGTCTTGATTATACACGTCCTATCTGAGGTTGAAGACGATACTTGATGTCTTTTTTTTTTTTTTTTGATCTCTTGGTTGTAGCTAAAAATTGCATGACATCGCGCTTTTATATTAGATACCTTACGATCGAAGTTTTTTGGCTTTGCCCAGGCGGTAACGGCGAACGTCACGAATTGACGTGACCAGTGCCCTGCCGTCAGAATTTGGGTTTGAGGTTCACATTTGTACAGCATGAGCACGCTCTAGAGGTAAGTGATTTACTGCAAGGATTTTTGCACCCCAAAAAATCCCAACCCGGCGTTTGAGAGGAGATACTACTTTTTGGAACTCTTTCGCTTATTAATTGTCCAATTCGTTTTCATAGGAACGTGTTTTTGAAGACAATTTCTGAGCTAATAGTTTGCCGTTTGCAGTAAGATGACCAAACCTCGATCTTAAGGTCTCTATTCTTAATTTCAATTCAGTTCATTAGTCTTACTTGAGCTTACTACATCCTACACGCCACTAATTTGTCTTCGTGTTAAAAGGTATTACGCTATTAAAAGGTACTTTTTACCTCAAGGTACAGTATGAGATTAGTGGCAAATGTAGTTGAGAAAATTGTCGGTTTTGTGTTAACGCGTGGAACTCGTTCGTTGCTGTGTTGAATGACAATTGCCGTTTTCGCACTGGAGACGGATTATCCGTCTGAGACGAATTATCCGTTGGATAATTCGCGTCAGACAGATTATACGTCGTAATTTGAAAATGGAACGGTCTTAATTTTGCATGGACATCCGCCTGAATTTATCCATATGTTTTTCCGTCAATTTTGACGGACTTTGAACATGGATTATCCGTCTCAGACGAATAATCCATCTCAAGTGTAAAAAAGGCCGTTGTTCAATTTGGACGGATAATTCGTCTGACTTTATCCGTCTTTTTAGACGGATTTTAGACGGATTATTAGTCTCGAATTCACACAAGACGTATAAGTCATCCCATTTTTTCTGCCCACCCTCGTCCCCAGTGTCTTCTCGCTTTCCAAAGGACACTGGGACGAAGTTGTTTTTTTTTTCCTGAAAAGCCTAGCACTAGAAAGGGTGCGTTGCATCGTGGGATTCGTAGAACAAAAAGTTTAAAGCACTCACCCTCCGGGAGGTACTCTGGGAATTCTTAGTGGGGGTGTGCCGGCCCGTTCTTCCAAATCCTAACCCTATATCAGACCTAAAAAGGTCATTTTTCACACCCGTTTTCAGATCTGCCCTCTAAAATGCCTACCAGTTTTCAGACCTGACCTCTAAGAAATTGTGTCACCATTACTTCGATCAAAGCAGCAACAAAAACGATTTCTTAAAATCGATTTCGAATTCGTTCTTACTCATTTGGAATTGAAACCATAAATACATTCATACACTCCAGTAGTTCCCTCGAAAATCATACCCGACTCCAGACCAAAATGGGCGAAAAACGTTCAAAAAGAACACGTGGAGTGAAAACGTCTTTAATAGCGCCGAGAAGCTCACCCCTGCAAGGCGCCTTTGTATCATTTTCACATGTTTCATAATACTACTTGATTGTCCCCGCCCCTCCTCTCCCCCAAACAAAATTGCGTGAGCGTAAGCATCAATGTCTTCAATTTTTCTTGCGACGACTGTAATACCCAGGAGAAATTTTTAAAAAAAGGCTATGCAAAATTTGGGCGAGGGTGTTTGTTTGTTTGTTTGTTTGTTTTTTTCTCATGGACTGAGTCTCGAGGTCAATAAATACGTTACTGCGGGACTACTGCGGCAAAATTCCCAACGGGAAAGATAGGTAGTCAATCAGAAAACAGTATTTACTTCAGCTTACCCACTCGCGAAAGCTGCATATGATAATGTGATCAGATTTACAGGTTTCTTTCGCGAGATACCGTAAAATTCCGAAAATAAGCCCCTTCGTGTAAAAGCCCCTCCAAATATAAGCTCCCCAAATTCGTAACGCAAAAAACCCCCCGTTAAATCGCCTCTCCAAATATACAACCAAGAACGAGAAGTCCAAAGACTACTGCAAAGCTGATTTAAAACAACGTGTATTGTTTTTTATAACAATATTTCGGCTGCCCATACCAGCCTTCTTCAGGTTTACAGATGTTACTGAACTTACGTAGCAATCACAATATTATATAGGTGGAGAATGTCGCAATAAAAATTGTTTAAAAGGGAGAGACGGAAATGATGTACAACACAAAAACTGGAAAGGAAAAATACTAAGGATATGGATTACAATAATTCGTCACGGCGTTTTAGGCCATGAGGTTCAAGAGTCATGGCCTTATCTATCAAATGCGACTCCCTGGCCTTACGAACTGAGTCACGTGAAGAATGAATTTTCTCTAGTGGGATTAACTGCATCTGCTGCATGTCAGTATGAGAATGATTAGAGTTAGAGAGAAAGTGTTCAGAAACAGTAGTGGGTTTAGATTTAATGTTAGTTTTGTCGACTGCACGTCTGTGTTCGTTAAATCTGTCCTTGAGAGATTTTGAGACGTCGCTTAGTTTCACTCATATATTGTAAATTACAACGGTTACATTGAACCATGTAGATCACATTTTTAGTGTTACAAGTAATGTGTGAAGTGATGGAGCGTGTTTCACCTGTAGCGTAAAAGGTATAACTTGTGGGGAAAAAGTGCCCTAAAATGAGTCTAAAAATAAACTGGTCCGTAAAAACGCCGTGACGTAGGCCTAGTATGGGAGTACTAGATATATGCTGTGTGCATCAGGCAGTCAACTGATGAAACATCCAACACTAAAAACACAGTAACACACCATTGGGCCACGAAATGGCCCAATAGTACCTTTTTGAAGCTGAAAGTGACTCAAACAAGGTATGGGGGGGATATATGGCGTACAAATCGTTAACAGTCACCGCGCTCATCTAATTGAGGAAAAAGAGAGCTGGGGGTTATTCCGCCCCTTGGAACCAAAACATCATGCCGGTAATCGGACAGGTAAAATCATACCGTTTTGGTGATTTATAAGCAAAAAATGAAGGCTGATAAAAATTAATCAGATTGGAGCATTCTGTTATTTACCCGATCAGATGAAAAACAGTTGTAACCTACAATTCCGGACAAAACTACTTGAGAAAGTTTTCCCCATCATGTCCACTTTCCTATGCAACAAAACTATTTCCAGAACGACGTTTTGCGGAGAGAAAACCCCTTCCCCCAATTCAATGTTGCTTCCTACAAACGCCCAGGGATCATGCTTTCTTTTGAATACGCAACAACATTGCTTTTAGGGGAAGAGGGAGGAACTGGTACAGCTACGATGTTTAGAATAATGCTGTCCAAGTATACAATTTTCTCAACAGTTTTATCCAAGATTGTAGGTCGAGAATGGGGGGGGGGGGGGGGGGGGGGGGGTGGGGGGCAAATAAAAAAATTTTACACAAACGGAGATGAAAAAGCGCAAAGCGGAGGCAGCGGGAAGGGAGGGGCACGACATACAAACCACAGACACACGCAAGGGGGGGGGGGGGGGGGGGGGGAGGGGGGGTGATGACCAATTAAAAAAAACTTGCAGCATCGGAAGTGATTAAAGCCTCAGCGAAGGGACAGGAAGAAGTGGTTTCCTAATCAAATATTGACTTTGGAGGTGAGTGTTCAAGGGGAAGAGTTTTTTCAGAAAGCGTTTTTATGTCGTGGACATCAACAATGACAGTAAAACTTCAGTCTCCTTTTCTTTATATTTAATACAACATAACAAGGCTGACAGTTACATCAAAAACTGAACACTGTATCACGCAACGTGCCCAGATTAGCTACAAGCAGTTGATGTAATCAAGTCGACGTAATAATGCAAATCTACTAAATGAATGCGGAGCACTTCTTAAAATGACCATGGCCATGCTATACGTCATTGGCCTGGAAAACACTTCACCTTCAGGTAGCTAAAAATTCGTTAGATTCCTTATAGAATAATCTTGGTTTAAAAGATTGAGGTACATAAAATTTCTTAGCGCCTAACCACAAAACGATGCTGAACAAGTGCTCTGGAACTGATCTGTTTGATCAATGTATAGCCTTACTTTTACAAAAAATTAAGTTCTCCAGTCAATAAAACATTAAAAAAGCGTATCACTGTTACTAAGCAATTGAACTATCTGAGCCACAGTTCGGTACTTATATAAGATAACAACTATATTATAAGAGGGTCCTGAAGGGAGGAATACCAAATCCCAGTCAAATCCTAAGTTTGGTCAAAGTCCCATTCCCAGTGGTTGTTTGCCGGAAACTAATGGCATGCACATAATAAATGAAAAGCTGCACTGATTGACACCGTTTGGATATAGGTACATCAGTTCATCTGGAAAGAAAAAATCTCTCATTCTACTGGACAAGTGAACAATCTTTCTCCTCCAACTCTTGTTGGCATAACTATATTAAAAATACTTGTCTTAATCTCACTTTCAACATCTTCATCCGACTCACTCAATATCTCCGCTTCGCCGCGTCAGTAGTTGTCACGGTTCAGTCGAAATCAGTTAAAGAGTATAGTTTGCAATTTTCTGTGCGGATTACCGCATTGTTTGCTGAACTCAAACATTTCGATGACCATAACTGTGCAAAGCGCGGGAAACATTTTTTAAATCAGACGCCATTTTGATCTTTCTCAAATGGTCGGGCATGTCATTTCA